ATCATCATCATCATCATCATCATCATCATCATCATCATCATCATCATCATCATAACCTTTCTCACCCTGCACCAGGGTATAGGCCATGAACAAACACTTTCCAGCTCTCTCTATCCTCATGATGTTATTCCATGTCTTCCCACTTTTGTGTGTATCAGTTTCCGTGATTCCTCTCCAAGTTCCACACGGTCTTCCTCTTGATCGTTTACCCTGTGGATTCCAATCCAACACTTTATGTAGTGTGCAGCTGCCTGATTTCCTGAGATTATGTCTAATGCATCGCCACCGCCTTCTTCCTACCTCATCTCTGACTGGTCTTGTTTTCCAAAGCACTTCCTCGTTGGTGACCTTAAAGTGTGTCTGTGGAGACGTAAAAACGACATGAATCCGCTAAACTTATGTTTCAATTCTTTGTTTTCTGAAGTTATTTCTACATTTTCGAGACATTGCACATGTGCTCCCTTTAACTCTACAACTATAAGCACGTAGCGGACAGACCTGCCCGACCAGCAGCAGATCAAACGCAATGCTTGGGGACATTTGCAACCATAATAAACATTCTAAAACACGTCTTTTATTTGCTTAGCTCATAACAGTATATGTGTTATTGCTGATCTTTTTAAGTTTCAAATAAAGGAAACTGGAGTGATAAATTTGAATGAATGACGGAGAAGTGCTCCTTTCTGAAAATGCACTAAAAACATCTTGTCTGGAAGCATTGTCCAAGACACGTCCTCAAATTAAATGGTTAAGAATTGCCCCCACAGGGTGTGTGTTTGAGCAAGACATGATAACCCTTGCTCAAAAACAAGGCGTTGCAAATCAGCGACCAACAGAGCTGTTTGGACTGTCTACTATTATATTACACATAAAGTTTTAATGCAACGTATTTGTGGTGGTGGGAGGGTGAAGAATGGTGGAATGTCATGGATGAATGTGGCTGGGAGTTAGGTTTGGTAAAGAGGCGTGGGGTTGGAGCAGGATTTGAAGGGTTTAGGGGTATATGTCACTCTTGCGAGACAAAAGGACGTCATACCGCAGAGAATCATGTGCTTTTGTGACTGGTAGTAAGAAAAATATATATTATAGAACATGTAACACTAGGCAGGGGTAGGCCCAGAACAACATACTTAGGGAACCTAAACAAATGGGTAACAGGGAAAGATCTGGGAAACGTAGCCTTTTTTGAGCTTCTGAGCAAAGGAATGAATGGAGAACCATGATCGCTGATGTCTGTCTCAGATCTGGCCCTGGATGATGATGATGATGTAACAAAGGAATTCGCTTCTACTTTTAGTCCAACAAGAGAGCCCACGGCCGTCTCGGGACAGGCAGTGAAGGGGTTTATGTAGACCTAGTGTAAGACGCATAAAGCTAGCAGTCGAGAAGGGGCCTGCGCTATACAAATACCATTTTATATTAATTATTATTTTCTATACTACAACAATTGCAGTAAAATAATATGTTTCAAAATCCTAAATTTTCCTCAGATTATTATCTCTTTAAAAGCGGATAGTTAGAGAACGTTAGGAGTACGCCATTGGCAGATATTTATTACAGCCATCTTGTTTGACCTCTTCTTTAACATGCATAATACAATGAGCATTATCATAACACTTTGCTAAAATGAAAAAAAAACTTTCTTTTTTTACTCCGCATATTTTTTTTCCGGATCAGACAGTGAAACAGTAGGTCTGGAACTTCTTTGGTCTTTTCTTAGAATGAAGAACACTATTTAATGACACAAACAAAATGGCTCTTGGAGCTCACATGACCTTATGCAGTTGCGAGCGCCGTAAAACCTCTACTAAAACACACAAAACAAGATGGCTGTTACTATAAATATCGGCCAATGTCGTACTCCTAATGTTCTCTAACCATCCGCTTGTTATCTCTTTCTTCTGCCCCGCACACTCGGGTACATCAGAGTACCTGGTGGGAGGGCGAGCCATGAGGTTCCTCCCTGTGGCCATCTCTCTACTGGTCAGTTTCGAGTCGTCCATCATGATGCTGGGACTGCCGGCCGAGGGATATGTCTACGGCATACAGTTCGTCTTGAGCAGCGCGGGCTTGTTCATCTCCCAGGTCTTGTCCGTGTTCATTATGGTGCCGCTGTTGCACCCACTCAGGATCACCAGTGCTTATGAGGTGGGATGGGGAGTGGGATGGGGAAATAAAAGAGGAGGAGGAGGAGGAGGAGGAGGAGG